ACGAATTCACAGTACGTACATAGCGTGCGAAAATGTGTCGACCTGTTTATTATGGATCTGCTAGGCGGATAATAATGTGAAAGTCTAGTATATTGTCTTGCGAAGCACATATAAACTTCGGATATGAAATTTACGGAAAATCTCGTTACATAGATACGCCCGTAATAGCTTTCGCAACGCGTTCGAGGAAATGCAACAAAGGTTCTCGGTTCTATATCAGGTAGACGTGCACTGTTTGCGAATACTTGCTCTAGTTTCCGATCACGTGGTGGATAATGTGTGCGCTCAACCACATTCCGTATTTTATATTGATATGGAGGACTTGATATCACCGATTTGCCTAACAATCAGTATACAAGCCGTTTAAATGGATACGTAACATGTATAGCGAATTTCATGCTCATAAAATATTGTGCGGTCTAACCTCAGGAGCTATTAGCATTGTGCATTGGAAATGTTGAGGTTAACGGACGTATTTACGTATCTCTTCAATCTCACCGCCGCAACATAAATTCCTACATCTTTACGCAAATGATTTGAGAATATTGACATATGATGTGGAAACACGCGCGCGTATTTTCTAGACTGCGTGTTGCAATTACGTATTGCAGCAATATAATTTAATATTAATCTTCTCTATTGCGTTAATTATCTGACAAATTGAACTAAGCACACGAAAATCAAGAATTTAAAAAATTATAGCATCAGGTATTCTTAAATATGATACAAATTCCACAAATTGCAAATTTTTTATCGGACTGAATTGCGTATCTCACACACACACATAAAACAGAAGGTCTTCTTTCGCTTTCTGAAGGATGCGACGCATTATTTACATGGTCACGTAGTAGGAAGTAGTGAATTCCGAGCAAACTTCTTTATTACTTCCTGATTATACAACGAATCATATTATATGATAGGCCGCTTGGCGGTTATCCAGTTCAAGGTGAACTGCATTCGCCGTCATCATAAATAGCAAAATCGTGTGCGCGGTATGGGGAGATCATAGATATAGAAAGGGGTGGGGCTGCGTCGAAAGACACAGTCTGAAGTCAAGCGCAATCATGCTCCGCTCTGTAATGCAGTGGTTCCCGGATCGCAGACACGATCGAGAGACAGCGTGAAAGGATCGAGAGGCTCTCGCTGAAACGGCTGAAAACGCGCCCGGTAAATTAACAGTTAGTCGATCGGGCGTCGCGGCGCAGGCCGTCGATGGGCTTTCGTTCGTACGCATCATGGAATTGATTTGGACATTCGTTTTGCTCGTCGGGTTTGCACGCTCGTCCCGTCCGTCGCACCTTGAAGTGGTTTACCAGTGGAAGTATTTGGATTGGGCCTGGCCGAATGTACATCTGTCAGAGAAAAATTACACGCTGGGCAATGCCTTCACGCAAGACGTGGATATCGACAGGCGGGGTCGCGTGTTCGTGACGAGTCCGCAGTGGTTGGACGGTGTGCCGATTAGTTTGTCTTTGGTTACTAAGGCGCACGGAGCCGGCGGTCCTTTACTCGTGCCGTATCCCCACTGGTCCTGGCACACGCCGCACAGCTGCGAAAGCATCATATCTGTTTACAGAATTGCGGTAATCTTACAGTTGGTTGTAGTAAAAATTGTTTATATATAAGTGCTCACGATTTTTCCTACTCAAAATGTTTTCGCTATTAATTAGTTATTAATTAAATATTACTTTGTAATGTGTGGAATTGATGGATATGCGTGATCTTTAGATTGACGAGTGCAATCGTTTGTGGGTGGTCGACACTGGCAGAGTAATGAGGAGAGCAATAT